ATATATATATATATATATATATATATATATGAGAGAAGATGAGGAAATAAATACAACGAACATTTGTTATAATTTTACAAGAATTACTGAAGATACAAGGACGCTTAACATAAATTTAAAATTTTAAAATTTTGGCGACCGATGTATCCAGATGCATATATATATATATATATATATATATATATATATATATATATATATATATATATATATATTAAGAAATGGACAAAGTCCGACAATTTATTTATTAAAGACATTTTTATGTTTAACGTTTTTTTTATAGATACAAGTATTTAAGTAAATGCTATTTAATACTGTTTATTATAAACAGAGCATTTACTTAAATACTTGTATCTATAAAAAAAAGAACGTTAAACATAAAATGTCTTTAATAAAATATATATATATATATATATATATATATATATATATATATATATATAATCTTGTTTACCATATTGCTGACACCTAGTCCTTTATTACTGTAATAGCTAAAAATATAACAAAATAAAACTTGTATTTTGTACAATTTAATTTAACAACACCTCATTCAGAATTTGGAAAGATATAATAAAAATTTGAATTGATATACCTTGTCGGTGGAATATAATAAAAACACTTTATATATATATATATAAATAAAAAGAAAAGAACAGTAAGATATATATATATATATATATATATATATATATATATATATATATATATATATATATATATATACTCGTGATTTTTGGGGGTATAACGTATGTAGAAATTCTCTAAATTGTTCGTTCCGAGGACCTTTCAGCTATTAGTTATTTTCAAGGAATTTTGACTGTACTATTTCAAATAGTGTGTAAGTAATTGATATATAGATATATCTCTCATTCACAAAAACGGCCAGTACATTTTATCTATTCATTTTCGTTGCAGATTTTGTTAAGGCTGTTTTTTTTCTTTTTTAATGAAGGCTTATTTTATTTTCAGGCATTTTCTACAGTTATTTGTGCTGTATATATGACAGTTTTTATAAGTAGAATACCAGTTAGTTTTCTCAACAAACTTGCTATTAATCAACTGTTATTGGTACAATTTTGAAGATTTGCACTTCTCCCCCAAATTTGGTTTTGATCGGTCAATATATGGCTATTTTAGAGGGTGTGACAGACAAAAGGACTAACGGAAATCACAGAATGTTATATATATATATATATATATATATAATTTGGGGGAGAAGTGCAAACAGGTAGTTGGTACAAATTATTAAACTGCGAAGTAGGGTTTTTTGTCAAAGTATTTTGAAAACAAATCAGCTTAATCAAATTTCCTCGATTAGTTTGCTAAATTGAACGAAACGTACTTTGTAAATCCCGACGAAAATGTTAGCGATACCTTCAGAATCATGTGGGCATTTCAACACGCGTCAGCGAGTTGCAAAAAAATTCTAGTATCTTCAAAATTGTACCATATATATATATATATATATATATATATATATATATATATATATATATATTATAATTAATTGATTTAAAATATGTTTTTTTTCGATACACAGTTCTAACCACGTTTCGAAAAATTCGCTTGAGGATGAAATGGAACTAATGTCTTTAATTTAATTACAAAATTAAATTCGGAGCTTTCAGCTTCCATTTTTAAAACATGGTTAGAACTGTGTAACGAAAAAAAACATATTTTAAATCAATTAATTTATAATATTAATGCTCTGTAAATTTACATTGAGCACTATTTGTAAAAATAAAAATATCTATAAGAACACCGGAATATATATCTTACTGTTCTTTCTTTTTATTTATATATACATATATATATATATGTGTGTGTGTGTGTGTATGTGCGTTAGTGTGTGTGTGTGTGTGTAAAGAGAGATAGACAGATAAATAGATAGTTTTATTTATATGATAGATATACTATATGAATTTCAGTTTTTTTTTTACCCGTTTTCATTAGAAATATTTACAATAAATTATTCGTTCATGTGATTTTTTTATACAACTCCAAGTTTCTTTATCGTAATGTAATAAATGTATAAAACTATATTTCACAGTCTCGAGTTCCTTAATTCATTAGGGTTATCCTGTAGTCGTAGGAACAGTGATATGATTTGATCAAGATAATCTGACGGAACCCAACCATCTCCAGGTTAGTTTGAATTCAAAGTTCGTTCTCATAAACTGGTTGTCAACCAAGGTTGTATGGTCCAGTCTGTCGTTTCATTCTTCTTTTTTTTTTTAAATCAACTCACCCCAAGCAAGGCGATAATGTGACTAAGACGCAAGGAGCATCTGCGAGTGAAAGATAATGAAATTGTTTTAGAAGGAACCAGAAACACGATCCTAAACAGGAAACAAGCAATAAACCTTTATTATTGTTCAAAAACCGGGGAGGAGTATGAACCTATTTACTCCTATTGAGGAAAAATAAATAGATAAATATTCAGAGTTTAAGCGGAGATATTAGAAGTATAGAATTGATATAGACTTCAGACGAAATATGATTATCTAGTCTGTCCCCCAAGTCTTGATATTTATTCAGTAACATACAGAATTATGACACAAGACTCTATGATCATTATGGTTAGAACTTATTTAAACAGATTATTTTCCACCTTCCAACTTCTGTTTCACAGACGAGATGTAGCGAGTCTTACACTACTCTATTGCTACTACCGTAGAAAGTGCTCGGACGAACTGCATTCCTTTGTTCCGTCAAGTCTAACCTTCACGGCTAGGACCCGCCATGTCATTTACATCGTAGCAAAACACCCAAATTCCCTGCGTATTCCATTGGCGAGAAGTAAGTTCCATTAAAACAGGTTTTTCCACTACTCTATGGAACCAACTCCCAAGGGAATGTGTTGTAGAGTAGCTAGCACCCCTTCAACACTACCAGATGGCCTGGCTCATAGCCTTAATTAGTCTACGATTAATGACTTCAACAGGTGATTAATAAGTTGATACTAAGCTGATTAATGTTCGGACTGATCTTACTTCGTTTGGCTATACAGCATTTGACCCTCCTCTATTCCTTGTAAGTTGTCTTGGTAATTTTTTGTAACTTATTGTTCTGTGTTTTTGTATGTATCAGTTAGCACCGGATACAGGTGCTGAATAAATATATCAACCACTCATTCTTCTCTGTGTATCATTCACCTCAACGATACAACAGAATGTTTCCCTGATCTTAACCTGTTCAATTGAAGGGTTAACCGTTACCTTCCCATTATATCAGCATAAACTGCCTCTTACCCTGTAATCCTCTACCTTGAGTGGCCCCTGGGCATTGTACAGGCTGAAGTTCACTGTAAAAAATTACCCAAAGCTGCAGAAAGAAAAGTGGGACACACACCTTTCCCAAGGGTATTTGTGTGTAAGCAAATGCAACGAACTCTACTGGGGTTCGAACTCTGCTCTACTGATTTCTCATTCCTTGCCGATATCCATTACACCACATATTTACAGACCGTCTCCAATTCACTATAGAATGATTACCAAAGTCAAACGAAGGGAAGCAAGGTATTGCAAAGACATTGAATGGCGGGAACAAAGTTGGAAATTGCGAAAAAGTTAATCTGAGATCACAGGTATATTTACCCAGCCTCTCCACAAAGGCAGGGTGTGCCACAAGGTTGTGATTAGCGCTATACACATAGGTATGCATATGCGCCATGGAAAAAATTGTTTTGACCAGTTACCCGCGACCAGTATCATGCTGGCATCGATATTACACTGATCTCTCCTCTCTTATTGCAATGAAGAAGGTGCAGCCGCAGAGTTGGAATCCCTGGGACTGAGCAAGTACTCACAGCTAAAAATAAGGAAAAACGAGGCTCCACACGAGCAATAACCACGCCTCAGAAAATCTTCATAGGCTATGGTTAACTCCTGTGCCACAAACTGAGATTATAGGACCATAAAAAAGAAACGAAAAAAAATCCAATATATTAGCAGGAAAATTGGTTTGAAGAATGTTAAAAAAAAAAAAAATACATTTTAGAAAAAAATACATTTTAGAAAAAAATTAAATGGTAATAAAATAAGAAAAAAGAATTGACCTGCAACAAAATATTTGAAGAACCCCAGACGAGGGGAAGAATACAGAAAGGCCGATCCTTGAACGGCGAGCCTGGTCCGTACCGAGATGGGTGACCGCTTGGGAATACCAGGTGCTGTAAGTTTGTGGGGGTCGTGTAATTGATAAAGGTTCATAATGATAACTCGAAGGGCCGAGTTCGAATTTCAGTCGTGTATTCACATATATTCTTTTGGAAAGGTAAGAAGCAAGATCTTCTCTCCCCCATCTGTGGGTTAAATAGTAGAACTTATATCTGAAAATCATTATTATCCCATCCCAAATTGTTAATCAATTATTATTATTATTATTAATAGATTAATATTTTCTGACTTGATAAGACGTAGAAAACAAATCTATCATTATAGCCTTGGTTGACAACAAGTCTACCGCAGAAAGTAATAACAGCATTCTTTTCTTTTCCTTCCTTTTTTTAATCGGTATCAAATAAGGCAGTAAAGCCGCTAAGACGCAAAAGGTTACTGGGTGTGGGAGAATTAGAAATGAAGAACTTTATTAATGAGTGGAAAGAGTAATCAGGATAGATTGCTACGGAAAATTCTTACAATCCAAAAATACGTTGCGACTTTAAATAACCTACAAAAGGTTGATAAGCCGTAAAAACAAATCAGTTAAATTAAATTAAAAGATGCAGAATATTAAGAACATTGGCTCAAGGCATTAACAATAAAACTTCACAAAGAGAAACGTGTACCTGTGAACTAATTTCCCAACAGGGATTTTTAATGATGACTGTAGAGCTACATTGGATGGATCGACTAGAGATTGGGTTCTTCAAGGAAATAATCAATCAACACATCTTAGAAGACAACAATGATGAGGAATTAAGTAATATTTTCGGTTAAGTACCGATTTTGGGGCTGAATAGCAAGACAGACTGGTTCTTATAGCCTTCGTGTTTACGGCCGCGTCACGTTGAAACACTGGTTCCCATACTATCACCGAAGTTAAGAAACGTCGAACCAGGTTGGTACTTAGGTGGGTGATAGTTTGGGAATACCAGGTGCTCTAAGATTGGATGTACGGCTGGTATAATTAATGGAACTGTTAATCGGAGAGCCGAGATCCAATTGGGTTCGTTATATTCAATAACGCGCAAATAATCTTGGGAAAGGTATGAATCCGCTGCTTCCCCCTATCTATGGGTTCATTAATCATACTTGTGTCACTAAATCATTATTATCTCACCCCGCCCCCCCCAAAAAAAATTCTCACAATCAAAAAATCTTTTCTGGCTTTAAATAACCTGCAAAGGCTTGATAAGCCGTAGAAAACAAATCTATTATTATAGCCTTGGTTGACAACCAGTCTACCGCAGAAAATAACGACAGCATTCTTTTATTTTCCTTCCTTTTTTAATCGGTATCAAGTAAGGCAGTAAAGCCGCTAAGACGCAAAGGGTTACTGGGTGTGGGAGAATTAGAAAAAAGGGACATTATTAATGAGCAATCAGGATAGATAGCGATTGACATTGCAAATAATTTTTTTCAGATTAATGTTGGATGATAAGCATGGAGCTGGAAGAGTTCCACAAGTGAGAAGTGCGGGAAAAGAAACTGTTAGCATAGAACTTACGGTTACATCTCTAGCCAACTCAATTGTAAATTTATGAGACCTCGTCACCAGTCCACTATTGCGCTTAAATTCATAAAGTCTAGGTACCATGGCGAAGATTTCATCCGAACAATTACCATGAAAGGATTTATAGAAAAGACACAGGGAAATAACTTTACGGCGGTGAGAAAGCGACTGAATCCGAGATGCCAGGTCAGGACCAATAATATTGCTGATTCTTCTTTGGTTTTCTAGATATATAGCAGGAACACCAGACCATATGTGGCGGCAATATTGTAAGCATGGACGAACGGTAGACTCATAGATATGTAAGATAGTTTTTGGAGAGAAAAATTGTCTAGCACAACACAATAAACCAAATTTCTTAGCAGTTGAACTAACAATGGATTCAATATAATCTTTCCACTTTATGTCAGCCGATAATGTTAACCCGACAAGATGCAACGAGTCACTCTCTTGGAGGTTAACATCAGCCATGCAAGGCAGAAAGGGGTATCAGATTATTAATAGAGCAGTTCAGTTTTGGAGTCGTTAAATTTAACAAGTCATTCCTTACCCCAGTTAACAACAGAATTAAGCCGTGCGGGATTTCTTCTGTCGTGTCAGTCATGAATCGAAAAGAGACATGATCGTCCAAGCGTTCATCACGCATAGCAAGAAGAAAGGAAGTAAAATTATAGTTTTCTTCAATGATGACGATGATTTCAAGACAAATACAGAAAATTACTTTAAGTTCTTAGACAAGATGCTTGTATCTTAGGGATACAAGTCGCAAACACGATTCTCATAATGTAATATATTCTTACTTCCTCCTTTTACGCTCTTACAACAAACTCATTCAGTAATCCTCTACCTTGAGTTACTCTTTTGCCTTGTTTGGGATTAAAAATAGTGTAAAGAAAAGAAGTTTTATTCTGCAAAACTATTGCCAAAAAGAAAAAGGTTTCAAAGATTTTAAATTAATTGTATTGCGTCTATCCTATACAGATATTAGAGCAACAGAAAACTTATAGTCAATCATTAAAAGAGAAATCTCTATATAAATTTCTGTGACTTCCGTTACCCCATCCGTCTCCCCCTCTAAAATACCCATACATTGACCAATTGAAGCCAAATTTTCCGGAGAATTGCAAACAGATAAGGGGGTACAAAGTACAGTTGCTTTTACTAGGGTGCGTAGGTTCTTAGCTCAATAAATTTTCATTCATTTTTTTTTTTTTTTTTTTGGAAGGTTTATTGTCATACAAAATATTCCCACTATTTTAGAAGCAATTTAATGATTAAAATAACAAATACCTTTTTAATAAAAATGCAATAGTGTTTTTCGCATATCTTTTCTTTTAAGTTTTTATATATACAAGAATCTAGTTTCCAAGTCGCCTTGCGTTTGCGAAAACGAACAAGACCAAACATTTCAAAAAGTTGGAATTTGGTTTCAGAAAGAAATATTTATTCGTGGCTTATTGTATGCTGGATACTCAAAAGTAAGAAATCATAAGAATTTATTCTTCACTGTTAAAAAGGAAAAAAAAGAAAATTTCTTTAAAAAAATATTGTTTACCATGAAGTCCTATAAGATTAAATTAAATTAAAGAAATTATTAGACCGCGAAGTAGGGTTTTTGTCAAATTATTTGATCAGCTTATTTAAATTTTATCGATTGGTTTGCGAAATTGAACGAAACGTTGAGTTCGTTAATCTCGGAAAAATTGTTAGCGATAATTTCAACAAATACTAAATATTGTGAGGATTTCAGGAGACGTTAGTGTGTTTCAAAAAATTCTAGTGTATGAAAATGGAAAACAATAACCAGTGAATTTTCTCCTGGAAGTTAGTAAAGCTATGTTAAAGATGAAGACGATAGAAAAGGTAACAAAATCAATGAAAAAAAACTGACGCAAGTCAGAGAATATAAAGATATCCATATCATCATGTAAAATAATATAATAATTTATTCAGATAAATGTTACAATACGAGAATCAAATGTTTCTGTGGACTTATATTTGTTCCTTCTGTCTATCTATATATAAAATTCTATAACTTCCATTAGTCTGTCCATCACACCCTCTAAAACAGCCATACATTGAGTGATCGAAACCAAATTTGGGGGAGAAGTGCAAATAGGTAAGGGGTTAGAAAATACAATTGGTTTTACTAGGGTGCGTACAATAAATTTTCGTTCATTTTTTAGAAGGTTTATTATTATAATAGTATTATTAAATACTCCTACTATTTTAAAGACAATTTAATGATTAAAATAACAAATACTTATTTAATAAAAATGCAATATTGTTTTTTGCATCTCTTTTCTTTAATTTTTTATATATATTTAATTCTGGTAAAATATAAGCCACAGTTTGTAAATATAAACCCAGTCGGGTGAGTTTCAAATGGGAAATAGAAGCGATAACTTCAACAATACTAAATACTATGAGGATTTCAATACGCGTCTAGCAATAAACATTTCTTGAACTTTGTTTGCATAATAAAAGCTGACACCTCCCAAAATCAAATTAGTGTTATTTTTTTAATCATTTCGCCCCAAGCAGAGGCGATTCTACGAGGGGGCCAGAAGAGGCCAATGGCCCCTCCTAGAATTTTGGCTGGCCCCTCGGTTGCCCCTCTACTTTTCTAAGTTTTGTAGAGATAAAAAAAATCAGAGCAGACAAATTACACACTGTTCTTCTAGTATTGACGTTACAATTAACCCTTTGATTTTGTTTTGATGTTAACCTCTCTTTTATGGTCCAACAGCTTGAGAGAGGAAAAGAGGGCAAGAATAGATTAGAACCCCACTACTATGAATGAAAAGTTATTCCGTTTAATTTAGTGAAGTAACATACTTATACTAAAACTCATTCCTAAATTATGTATACGATAGTGGTGTAGTATGAAAATAAAGACGCTGCTTGAATTTGCCCCCACCTCCTCCGCAGAAAAATCTCGCCCCCCAAGTGCCCCCCACACACACACACAGAATTCCAGAATCACCACTGGCTCCAAGCAAGGCAACAAAGCCACTAAAACTCAAGGGGGTTACTGAGTGCGAAAGAATATAAGAAAAGGAATGAAAAACTTTATTAAGGAGGGAAAATACAGAAATTGAGAAGACAAAAGATAACGATTGACATTCCATTTAAATTTTTGAACATCAAACTTGACTGGAGAACATGAAGTCGGAATAGAGTTCCACAATCGAGAAGTGCGAGAAAAGAAAAATATATCTATTTTTGATCATTTCTTTACATTCTATCGTTATCCGTCACTTTATTACATTTTTGTGGTCTTTCTTTAGTGCTAAGTGTTATATGTTTGCTTGTGTTTTTGTTTTATTGTTTTAATCATTTCACTCCCAAACAAGGCAATAAAGCCACTAAGATGCAAGGGGGGGATTACTGAGTGTTAGAGATTATGAGAGAGAGAACAAAGAAACAATATTAAGGAGAGAAGATTAAAAGAGAAAGAATTAAGAAGACACTAGATAACGACTGACATTGCATTTATGAAAACAAGAGGTCGGAAGCAAGAGGTCGGAAGAGAATTCCACAAGTGACAATTGCAAGAAAAGAAACCCTTTGCATAGAACATACAGTTACATCTAGCCATTTCTACTGTAAAATCACGAGATCTTGTTCTCAATCTAGTACTGCGATTAAATTCATAAAGTCTAAGTACCATAGAGAACTTCATCAAAACAATTACCATGGAAGTATTTATAGAAAATGCACAGGGAAGATACAATGTGGCGGTGAGAAAGTGACTGAAGCTAAGATTCCAGGTCTGGATCAATGACATTTGTTAAATAAGAATAATTATTACAAATTGAAATTCACATGATATGTTACTCATAAAAATAATAGCTACAAAAACGCATATGTCAAAACAAGAAAAAATAGTAAAAATAGGGTTTCTAAAAAAATTTACATTACCGTAAAGTGGTAATATCGAATACAAAAGACAATTGTCAAAAAAAAAGCATCTTAACTGTTTATTGTTCCTCTCTCATCGGTGTTCAATCGAGAACAAGAAATGTGCATAACGTTTAAAATAAACACCAATAGCCAAATGTTATGTAATAAATAATATATAACAAAGTGTGGGTGTTAGCCTTATATGTAATTAGCTTTTTTGTCTTTGGTGTTCATCTTAGACGATATGCATATCTTCGATTGAGTTCGATGACAGAGGACATATAAATTGGTTAATTTGTTGGATTTTGAATTTCGATATTACCACTTAACGGTAAAGTAATTTTTTTTTTTAGTTATCCGTAAGTTTTTCTTCATGTTTTAACACGTTCATTTTTAATTCTATAATTAAAATTGTGCCGACGCTAAAATAACTCTTAGAAATTTAAATATATCTTGAAAATCCTAACCATATCGTTCAGTTAAGAGCAATTTTATTGTGAAAACGCTAACACGTTAACCTG